ACAAAAAAACAAAAGGAAAAACATTTAAACTTAAAATAATAAAAGAAAAAGAACACATGAAACAATAAGGAAAATTTTAAACTTAAAATAATAAAAGAAAAATTCAATACATGAAATAATAAGGAAAAAATTTAAAACTTAAAATAATAAAAAAGAAAATCCTAACACATGAAACAATAAAAAAATTTAAACTTAAAATAACAAAGAAAACTTAACACATAAAAAACAATAAGGAAAAAACATTTAAACTTAAAATAATAAAAAAAAACTTAACACATAAAACAACAAGGAAAAAACATTTAAACTTAAAATAATAAAAAGAAAACTTAACACATAAAACAATAAGGAAAAAATTTAAACTTAAAATAATAAAAGAAAAACTTAACATGAAACAATAAGGAAAAAAACATTTAAACTTAAAATAATAAAAGAAAAAACTTAACACATGAAACAATAAGGAAAAAATTTAAACTTAAATAATAAAAAGAAAACTTAACACATAAAAACAATAAGGAAAAACATTTAAACTTAAAATAATAAAAGAAAACTTATAAAACAATAAGGAAAACATTTAAATAATAACGAAAACAACAATGAAAAATTTTAAACTTAAAATAATAAAAGAAAACTTAACACAAAAACAATAAGGAAAAATTTAAACTTAAAATAATAAAAAAAAATTTAACACATGAAACAATAAGGAAAAACTTTTAAAAGAAAACTTAAATAATAAAAGAAAAACATTTAAACTTAAAATAATAAAAGAAAAACTAACATGAAACAATAAGGAAAAACATTTAAACTTAAAATAATAAAAGAAAACTTAACACAAAAACAAAAAGGAAAAAAATTTAAAATAAAAAAAGAAAACTTAACACATAAAACAACAAGGAAAAAATTTAAACTTAAAATAATAAAAGAAACTTAACACATAAAACAATAAGGAAAAACATTTAAACTTAAAAATAATAAAAGAAAACTTAACACAAAAAAACAATAAGGAAAAATTTTAAAACTTAAAATAATAAAAGAAAACTTAAATACAAAAACAATAAGGAAAAACATTTAAAACTTAAAATAATAAAAGAAAACTTAATACAAAAAAACAATAAGGAAAAAATTTAAATTTAAATAATAAAAAAAATAACAAAAAAAATAAAACATTTAAACTGAAACAAAAGGAAAAATTTTAAACTTAAAAACTTAAAATAATAAAAAAGACAAAAGAAAACTTAAAAAAAATATGAAAAAAAAAATAAGAAAAAAATGAAACAATAAAAAATTTAAACTTAAAATAATAAAAGAAAATTTAACACATACAAAAACAATAAGAAAAAATTTTTTTAAACTTAAAAATAATAAAAGAAAAACTTAAACATAAAACAATAAGGAAAAAACATTTAAAACTTAAAATAAAAAAGAAAACTTAACACATAAAAACAATAAGGAAAAAATATTTAAACTTAAAATAATAAAAAAAGAAAAACTTAAAACTTAACAATAAGAAAAACAATAAAAAACTTAAAATAAAAGAAAAAGAAACACATGAAACAATAAGGAAAAAAACATTTAAAACTTAAAATAAAAGAAAACTTAACACATGAAACAATAAGGAAAAACATTTAAACTTAAAATAATAAAAAGAAAACTTAACACATGAAAACAATTAGAAAACATTTAAACTTAAAATAATAAAAGAAAACTTAACACATAAAACAATAAAAAAAACATTTAAACTTAAAATAATAAAAGAAAACTTAACACATGAAAACAATAAGGAAAAAATTTTAAACTTAAAATAATAAAAAGAAAAACTTAACACATAAAACAATAAGGAAAAATTTTAAAACTTAAAATAATAAAAAGAAACTTAACACATGAAACAATAAGGAAAAATTTAAACTTAAAATAATAAAAGAAAACTTAACACATAAAAACAATAAGGAAAAATATTTAAACTTAAAATAATAAAAGAAAACTTAACATAAAACAATAAGGAAAAAAATTTAAACTTAAAATAATAAAAGAAAACTTAAATACATAAAACAATAAGGAAAAAAACATTTAAAACTTAAAAATAATAAAAAAAAAAAAACAATAAGGAAAAAATTTTAAACTTAAAATAATAAAAGAAAACTTAACACATGAAACAAGGAAAAAAATTTAACTTTAAAATAATAAAAGAAATTAACACATACGAAACAATAAGAAAAAACATTTAAACTTAAAATAATAAAAGAAAATTTTTAAAAACAATAAGGAAAACATTTAAACTTAAAATAATAAAAGAAAACTTAACACATGAAACAATAAGGAAAAAAAAATTTAAACTTAAATATCAAAAGAAACTTAACACATGAAACAAAAAGGGAAAAATTTTAAACTTAAATAATAAAAGAAAACTTAACATAAAACAATGAAAAGATTTTAAACTTAAAAATAATAAAAAGAAAACTTAATACATGAAACAATAAGGAAAAACATTTAAACTTAAAAATAATAAAAGAAAACTTAACACATAAAAAAACAATAAGGAAAAACATTTAAACTTAAAAAATAAAAGAAAATAATACATAAAAACAATAAGGAAAAAATTTTAAACTTAAAATAATAAAAAAATACATAAAAACAATAAGGAAAAACATTTAAACTTAAAATAATAAAAAGAAAACTTAATACACAAAACAATAAGGAAAAACATTTAAACTTAAATAATAAAAGAAAACTTAACACATGAAACAATAAGGAAAACATTTAAACTTAAAATAATAAAAGAAACTTAACACAAAAAACATGAATAAGGAAAAATTTTAAACTTAAAATAATAAAAGAAAACTTAACACAAAAACAAAAGGAAAAAAAAATTTAAACCTAATAAAAGAAAAATTAATACTTAAAACAATAAGGAAAACATTTAAACTTAAAAAATAAAAAGAAAACTTAACACTAAAAACAATAAGGAAAAAAAAACTTAAATAATAAAAGAAAACTTAACACATGAAACAATAAGGAAAAAAACATTTAAACTTAAATAATAAAAAAAAAACTTAACACATGAAAAAACAATAATGAAAAAACATTTAAAACTAATAAAAGTTAACACATAAAAAACAATAAGGAAAAACATTTAAACTTAAAATAATAAAAGAAAACTTAACACATGAAAACAATAAGGAAAAAAGAAAACTTAAAATAATAAAGAAAACTTAACACATGAAACAATAGGAAAAAAATTTTCCTTAAAATAATAAAAGAAAAACTTAACACATAAAACAATAAGGAAAAACCATTAAACTTAAATAATAAAAGAAAAAATTTAACACATGAAACAATAAGGAAAAACATTTAAACTTAAAAAATAAAAAGAAAACTCAACACATAAAAACAATAAGGAAAAAACATTTAAACTTAAAATAATAAAAAAAAAAACATGAAACAATAAGAAAAACATTTAAAACTTAAAATAATAAAAAAAAACTTAACACATGAAACTGAAAAAACATTTAAAAAAATAAAAAAAGAAAACTTAACACATAAAAAAAACAATAAGGAAAAACATTTAAACTTAAAATAATAAAAGAAAACTTAACACATGAAACAAAGGAAAAAACATTTAAACTTAAAATAATAAAAGAAAACTTAACACATGAAACTATAACCTAACACATAAAACAATAAGGAAAAAACAAAACTTAAAAATAATAAAAAAAACTTTCAATAAAAAAAAACATTTAAAACTAAAATAATAAAAGAAAAAACTTGAAATAATAAAAGAAAAAACATTTAAAACTTAAAATAATAAAAGAAAATCAACACATGAAACAATAAGGAAAAATTAAACTTAAATAATAAAAGAAAACTTAAATAAGGTGATTTAACTTAAATAATAAAAAAAAACTTAACACATAAAAAATAAAAAAATTTAAAACCCTAGTCATTAAAAGAAACTTCTAATTATGAAATAATAGAAAAAAACATTTAAACTTAAAATAATAAAAGAAAATCTTAAAATGAAACATTAAGAAAACATTTAAAACTTAAATAATAAAAGAAAAATTTAACACATAAACAATAAGAAAACTATTTAAACTTAAAATAATAAAAAGAAAAATAACACATAAAACAATATGAAAACTAAACTTAAAAATAATAAAAAAAAAAAACTAAAAACAATAAGGAAAAACATTTAAACTTAAAATAATAATTTAAAACTTAAATGAAACAATAAGGAAAACAAAAACTTAAAATAACAAAAGCAATACAAAAACATTTAAAAAAGAAAGAAAAAAAAACTTAACTTGTTATATAATAAAAATAAAAAAAAGAAAACTGAAACAACTTGTTATAAAAGAAAAAGAAAAGAAAAATAAGGAAACTTGTTATAACTGGAAATGAAACAAAAAAGAAAACTTAAAACTTGTTATACAGACATGAAAGAAAAAGAAAACTTTAAACTTGTAAAATAATAAAGAAAAAAAAAAAGAAAACTTGTTATATTGAAAAAAAAAAAGAAGGAAAAAACTTGAAAATATGAAAACTTAAAAATAAAAGAAAACTTAACTTGTAAAAACAATAAGAAAAAAATTTAACTTGTAAAATAATAAAAGAAAAGAAAACTTAACAAAAAATAATAAAATAAAAAAAGAAATTTAAACTTAAAATAATAAAGAAAAAGATTTAAACTTAAAATACTTGAAAATACATACAAAAACAAAAAGGAAAAACATTTAAACTTAAAAGAAAAAGAAAAAACTTGTTATATGAAACAAAAGGAAAACTTTACTTATTATACCTGAAAGAAAAAGAAAACTGCTTATTATATGTAGAGGAAAAGAAAACAACATTATACAGAAAGAAAAAACTTTACTTGTTATACCTGAAGAAAAAACTTTACTTATTATATGTGAAAGAAAAACTTAACTTAGTATATATGAAAGAAAAAAACTTAACTTATTATCTGAAAAACTTAACGGTATATCTGAAAGAAAAAACTTAACTTGTTATATCTGAAAGAAAAAGAAAAATCCTTTACTTGTTATACCTGGAAAGAAAAAAGCAAAACTTACTGCAGTTATATGAAAGAAAAAGAAAACCTGAAAAGAAAAGAAGAAAACTTAACTTGTTACACGGAAAGAAAAAGAAAAACTTAACTTGTTATACCTGAAAGAAAGAAAAACCAACTTGTTATGGTCTGGAAAGAAAAAAAACTTTACTTGTTATTATATGTGAGAAAAAAAAAAAAACTTAACTTGTTATATCTGAAAGCAAAAAAAGAAAATTAAATATGGAAAAAAAAGAAAAACTTAATTTATACCTGAAAGAAAAAGAAAACTTTACTTGTTACCTGAAAGAAAAAGAAAACTTAACTTGTTATACCTGAAAGAAAAGAAAAACAACTTGTTATACCTGAAAAAGAAAAGAAAAATACTTGTTATATGTGAAAGAAAAAAGAAAACTTAACTTGTTATATATGAAAAAAAAAGAAAACATTACTTGTTATACCTGAACGAAAAAAAAAAACTTTTACTTGTTGGTACCTGAAAGAAAAGAAAACTTAACTTGTTATACCTGAAAGAAAAAAAAAGAAAACTTACTGTTATATTCGAGAGAAAAAAAGAAAAAACTCTTGTTATATCTGAAAGAAAAAGAAAACTTAACTTGTTATACCTGAAAAAAAAAGAAAACTTTACTTGTTATACGTGAAAGAAAAAAGAAAACTTAACTTGTTATATCTGAAAGAAAAGAAACCTTAACTTATTATACCTGAAAGAAGAAAAACTTTACTTGTTAATCTGAGAGAAAAAGAAAACTTAATTTGTTATCTTGAAAGAAAAGAAAAACTTAACTTGTTATACCTGAAACTCTTTACATTTAGAAAAGAAAAAAAAACTTGTTATATGTGAAAGAAAAGAAAACTTTAACTTGTTATACCTGGAAAGAAAAAGAAAAACTTTACTTGTTATACTTTGGTTTGTTATATGTGAAAGAAAAAAAATCCTAAATACCAGAAAGAAAGAAAAAGAAACATTACTTATTATACCTGAAAGAAAAAGAAAAACTTTTACTTGTTAAATCTGAAAAAAAAAAGAAAACTTAACTTGTTATACCTGAAAGAAAAAGAAAAACTTAACTTGTTATATTACTTAACTTGTTATAAAAAAAGAAACCTAAGTTATGGCCTGGAAAGAAAAAAGAAAACTTAACTTGTTATACCTGAAAGAAAAAGAAAAACTTTACTTGTTATATGAAAGAAAAAGGAAACTTTAACTTGTTATACCTGAAAGAAAAAGAAACTTTACTTGTTATATGTGAAAGAAAAGAAAAACTTGTTGTTATTAAAAAGAAAACTTAATTTGTTATACCTGAAAGAAAAAGAAAACTTAACTTGTTATATCTGAAAGAAAAAGAAAATTTAACTTGTTATACCTGAAAGAAAAAGAAAACTTAACTTATTATATCTGAAAGAAAAAAAAAAAACTTGTTATATTCGAAAGAAAAAGAAAACTTAACTTGTTATATCTGAAAGAAAAGAAAACTTTACTTGTTATACCTAAAAGGAAAGAAAACTTAACTTGTTATATCTGGAAAGAAAAGAAAAAATTTTTACTTGTTATACCTGAAAGAAAAAGGAAATTTTACTTGTTATATGTGAAAGAAAAAAGAAAAAAACTTAACTTGTTATATGTGAAAAAAAAGAAAACTTAACTTGTTATATGTGAAAGAAAAAGAAAACTTAACTTGTTATACCTGAAAGAAAAAGAAAACCTTGTTATAAAAAAAAAAAAAACTTAACTTGTTATATCTGAAAGAAAAAAAAACTTAACTTGTTATATCTGAAAGAAAAAGAAAACTTTACTTGTTATACCTGAAAGAAAAGAAAACTTAACTTGTTATACCTGAAAGAAAAAGAAAACTTTACTTGTTAAAAAGAAAAAGAAAAAACTTGTTATATGTGAAAAGAAAAAGAAAACTTTACTTGTTATACCTGAAAAGAAAAAGAAAACTTTACTTGTTATACCTGGAAAGAAAAAGAAAACTTAACTTGTTATATGTGAAAGAAAAAAGAAAACTTAACTTGTTATATGTGAAAAAAAGAAAAACTTAACTTGTTATATGAAAAGAAAAGAAAAACTTAACTTGTTATATCTGAAAGAAAAAGAAAACTTTACTTGTTACCTGAAAAAGAAAAAGAAAAGAACTTATTCTGAAAGAAAAAGAAACTTAACTTGTTATATCTGAAAGAAAAAAAAAACTTAACTTGTTATACCTGAAAGAAAAAGAAAACTTTTACTTGTTATACCTGAAAGAAAAAGAAAACTTTACTTGTTATATGTTTACTTGTTATATGTGAAAGAAAAAGAAAACTTAACTTGTTATATATGAAAGAAAAAGAAATTTTACTTGTTATACCTGAAAGAAAAAAAAACTTTACTTGTTATATGTTGAAAGAAAAAGAAAACTTAACTTGTTATATGTGAAAGAAAAGAAAAACTTAACTTGTTATAATCTGAAAGAAAAGAAAACTTAACTTGTTATATCTGAAAGAAAAGAAAACTTAACTTGTTATACCTGAAAGAAAAAAGAAAACTTTACTTGTTATACCTGAAAGAAAAAGAAAACTTAACTTGTTATATGTGAAAGAAAAGAAACCTGAAAAAAGAAAACTTAACTTGTTATACCTGAAAGAAAAAAAGGAAAACTTTACTTGTTATATTGGAAAGAAAAGAAAACTTAACTTGTTATACCTGAAAGAAAAGAAAACTTTACTTGTTATATCTGAAAGAAAAGAAAACTTAACTTGTTATACCTGAAAGAAAAAAGAAAACTTAACTTGTTATACCTGAAAGAAAAAAGAAAACTTTACTTGTTATATTGAAAAAGTTATATCTGAAAGAAAAAGAAAAACTTAACTTGTTTATCTGAAAAGAAAAGAAAACTTTACTTGTTAAACCTGAAAAAAAGAAAAACTTTACTTGTTATATGTGAAGAAAAAAGAAAACTTAACTTGTTATACCTGAAAGAAAAAGAAAACTTAACTTGTTATACCTGAAAGAAAAAGAAAACTTAACTTGTTATATCTGAAAGAAAAAGAAAACTTAACTTGTTATACCTGAAAGAAAAAGAAAACTTTACTTGTTATACCTGAAAGAAAAAGAAAACTTAACTTGTTATATGTGAAAGAAAAAGAAAACTTAACTTGTTATATCTGAAAGAAAAAGAAAACTTAACTTGTTATATCAGAAAGAAAAAGAAAATTTTACTTGTTTTACCTGAAAGAAAAAAGAAAACTTAACTTGTTATACCTGAAAAAGAAAAGAAAAAATAAAAAAAAGAAAACTTAACTTGTTATACCTGAAAGAAAAAGAAAAACTTTACTTTTGTTATATGTGAAAGAAAAAGAAAACTTAATTTGTTATACTTGGAAAGAAAAAGAAAACTTAACTTGTTATATGTGAAAGAAAAGAAAAAACTTGTTATATCTGGAAAGAAAAAAGAAAACTTAACTTGTTATACCTGAAAGAAAAAAGAAAACTTTACTTGTTATACCTGAAAGAAAAAGAAAACTTTACTTGTTATTTTACTTGTTATATGTAAAAAGAAAAGAAAACTTAACTTGTTATATCTTGAAAGAAAAAAAGAAAACTTAACTTGTTATATCTGAAAGAAAAGAAAACTTTACTTGTTATATCTGAAAGAAAAAGAAAACTTAACTTGTTATATGAAAGAAAAAGAAAACTTAACTTGTTATACACTGAAAGAAAGAAAAAGAAAACTTAACTTGTTATACCTGAAAGAAAAAAAGAAAACTTAACTTGTTATACCTGAAAGAAAAAAGAAACTTTTAACTTGTTATACCTGAAAGAAAAAGAAAACTTACATTTGTTATACCTGAAAGAAAAGAAAACTTAACTTGTTATATCTGAAAGAAAAAAGAAAACTTTACTTGTTATACCTGTAAAAAGAAAACTTTACTTGTTATACCTGAAAGAAAAAAAAACTTAACTTGTTATATGTGAAAGAAAAAGAAAACTTAACTTGTTATATGAAAAAAAAAGAAAACTTAACTTGTTATACCTGAAAGAAAAAAGAAAACTTAACTTGTTATACCTGAAAGAAAAAAAAAACTTAACTTGTTATATCTGAAAAAAAAAGAAAACTTAACTTGTTATATCTGAAAGAAAAAGAAAACTTTTTACTTGTTATATCTGGAAAGAAAAGAAAACTTTACTTGTTATACCTGAAAGAAAAAGAAAACTTAACTTGTTATATCTGAAAGAAAAAGAAAACTTAACTTGTTATACCTGAGAGAAAAAGAAAAACTTAACTTGTTATAAAAGAAAAAGAAACTTAACTTGTTATACCTGAAAGAAAAAAGAAAACTTACTTGTTATATCTGAAAGAAAAAGAAAACTTAACTTGTTATACCTGAAAGAAAAAAGAAAACTTAACTTGTTATACCTGAAAGAAAAAAGAAAACTTTACTTGTTATATGAAAGAAAAAAAGAAAACTTAACTTGTTATTGAAAGAAAAAGAAAACTTAACTTGTTATATCTGAGAGAAAAAGAAAAACTTAACTTGTTATACCTGAAAGAAAAAGAAAACTTAACTTGTTATACCTGAAAGAAAAGAAAACTTAACTTGTTATAAAAGAAAAGAAAACTTAACTTGTTATACCTGAAAGAAAAAGAAAACTTAACTTGTTATATGTGAAAGAAAAAGAAAACTTAACTTGTTATATCTGAAAGAAAAAGAAAACTTAACTTGTTATATGTGAAAGAAAAAGAAAACTTAACTTGTTATATCTGAAAGAAAAAGAAAACTTAACTTGTTATACCTGAAAGAAAAAGAAAACTTAACTTGTTATATCTGAAAGAAAAAGAAAACTTAACTTGTTATACCTGAAAAGTATATCTGAAAAAAGAAAACTTAACTTGTTATATCTGAAAGAAAAAAAAGAAAACTTAACTTGTTATATCTGAAAGAAAAGAAACTTAACTTGTTATACCTGAAAGAAAAGAAAACTTAACTTGTTATACCTGAAAGAAAAAGAAAAACTTAACTTGTTACCTGAAAGAAAAAAGAAAACTTTACTTGTTATACCTGAAAGAAAAGAAAACTTAACTTGTTATATCTGAAAGAAAAGAAAACTTAACTTGTTATATGTGAAAGAAAAAGAAAACTTAACTTGTTATATGAAAGAAAAAAGAAAACTTAACTTGTTATACCTGAAAGAAAAAAGAAAACTTAACTTGTTATATCTGAAAGAAAAAAGAAAAACTTAACTTGTTATACCTGAAAGAAAAAAAAACTTATATTGAGAGAAAAAAAAACTTGTTATACCTGAAAGAAAAGAAAACTTAACTTGTTATATCTGAAAGAAAAAAGAAAACTTAACTTGTTTACCTTATGTGAAAGAAAAAGAAAACTTTACTTGTTATACCTGAAAGAAAAAAAAAGAAAACTTAACTTGTTATATCTGAAAGAAAAAGAAAACTTAACTTGTTATACCTGAAAGAAAAAAGAAAACTTAACTTGTTATATCTGAAAGAAAAGAAAACTTAACTTGTTATATCTGAAAAGAAAAAGAAAACTTAACTTGTTATACCTGAAAAAAAAAGAAAACTTTACTTGTTATACCTGAAAAAAAAAGAAAACTTAACTTGTTATACCAAAGAGAAAAGAAAACTTGTTATACCTGAAAGAAAAAGAAAAACTTAACTTGTTATACCTGAAAGAAAAGAAAACTTAACTTGTTATACCTGAAAGAAAAAGAAAAACTTTACTTGTTATATGTGAAAAAACTTGTTAAAAAAACTTACTTGTTATAAAAGAAAAACTTAACTTGTTATATCTGAAAGAAAAAAGAAAACTTAACTTGTTATATACCTGAAAGAAAAAGAAAACTTAACTTGTTATACCTGAAAGAAAAAAAAAACTTACTTGTTATATCTGAAAGAAAAAGAAAACTTAACTTGTTATATCTGAAAGAAAAGAAAACTTAACTTGTTATATCTGAAAGAAAGAAAACTTACTTGTTATATGTGAAAAAAAAAGAAAACTTAACTTGTTATACCTGAAAGAAAAAAAAAAAGAAAACTTTACTTGTTATACCTGAAAGAAAAAGAAAACTTTGAACTTGTTATAAAAAGAAAAGAAAAAAACTTGTTATATCTGAAAGAAAAAGAAACTTTACTTGTTATATCTGAAAAAAAGAAACTTATACTTGTTTATAAGAAAAAAGAAAACTTAACTTGTTATATCTTGAAAGAAAAAAGAAAACTTAACTTGTTATACCTGAAAAAAAAAAGAAAACTTAACTTGTTATACCTGAAAAGAAAAAGAAAACTTAACTTGTTTATACCTGAAGGAAAAAGAAAACTTAACTTGTTATACCTGAAAGAAAAAGAAAACTTAACTTGTTATACCTGAAAGAAAAAAAGAAAAACTTAACTTGTTATATGTGAAAGAAAAAGAAAACTTAACTTGTTATACCTGAAAGAAAAGAAAACTTAACTTGTTATATTGAAAAAAAAAAACTTAACTTGTTATATCTGAAAGAAAAAGAAAAACTTTAACTTGTTATACCTGAAAGAAAAAAGAAAATATTTACTTGTTATACCTGAAAGAAAAAGAAAACTTAACTTGTTATATGTGAAAAAAAAGAAAAACTTAACTTGTTATATCTGAAAGAAAAAAGAAAACTTAACTTGTTATATCTGAAAGAAAAAAAAACTTAACTTGTTATATCTGAAAGAAAAAAGAAACTTAACTTGTTATATCTGAAAAAGAAAAAGAAAACTTAACTTTTATATCTGAAAGAAAAGAAAACTTAACTTGTTATATCTGAAAGAAAAAAGAAAAACTTAACTTGTTATATCTGAAAAACTTGTTATATGTGAAAGAAAAAAAGAAAACTTAACTTGTTATATCTGAAAGAAAAAGAAAACTTAACTTGTTATACCTGAAAAAAAAAGAAAACTTAACTTGTTATATGTGAAAGAAAAAAGAAAAACTTAACTTGTTATACCTGAAAGAAAAGAAAACTTAACTTGTTATATGTGAAGAAAAAGAAAAACTTAACTTGTTATATCTGAAAGAAAAAAAAAACTTAACTTGTTATACCTGAAAGAAAAGAAAACTTAACTTGTTATATTGAAAGAAAAGAAAACTTAACTTGTTAAAGAAAAAAAAGAAAACTTAACTTGTTATATCTGAAAGAAAAAAGAAAACTTAACTTGTTATATCTGAAAGAAAAAGAAAACTTAACTTGTTATATCTGAAAGAAAAGAAAAATTAACTTGTTATACCTGAAAGAAAAAAGAAAACTTAAAAGAAAAGAAAACTTTGTTATATGTGAAAGAAAAAGAAAAACTTGTTATATTTAACTTGTTATATGTGAAAGAAAAAGAAATTTAACTTGTTATATGTGAAAGAAAAAGAAAACTTAACTTGTTATATCTGAAAAAAAAGAAAAACTTAACTTGTTATATGTGAAAAAAAGAAAAATTAACTTGTTATATTGAAAGAAAGAAAACTTACATTTGTTATACCTGAAAGAAAAAGAAAATCTTAACTTGTTTTACCTGAAAGAAAAAGAAAACTTTACTTGTTATACCTGAAATTAAAAAAAAAACTTGTTATACCTTCCAACTTGTTATACCTGAAAGAAAAAGAAAAACTTGTTATAAATGAAAGAAAAAGAAAACTTAACTTGTTATATGTGAAAGAAAAGAAAACTTAACTTGTTATATGTGAAAAAAAAAAGAAAACTTGTTATATGTGAAAGAAAAAGAAAACTTAACTTGTTATATTTGAAAGAAAAAGAAAACTTAACTTGTTATATCTGGAAAAAAAAAGAAAACTTAACTTGTTATACCTGAAAAAAAAAAGAAAACTTAACTTGTTTTACCTGAAAGAAAAGAAAAAGTTAAAAAAGAAAAAAAACTTTACTTGTTATACCTGAAAGAAAAAAAGAAAACTTTACTTGTTATATGTGAAAGAAAAAGAAAACTTAACTTGTTATACCTGAAAGAAAAAAAAAACTTAACTTGTTATAATACCTGAAAGAAAAAAAACTTTACTTGTTATATGGGGAAAGAAAAAAAAAACTTAACTTGTTATATGTGAAAAAAAAAGAAAACTTAACTTGTTATATCTGAAAACTTAACTTGTTAAGAAAAAAAGAAAACTTAACTTGTTATATCCGAAAGAAAAAAGAAAACTTTACTTGTTAAAAAAAAAGAAAACTTAACTTGTTATACCTGAAAGAAAAAGAAAACTTAACTTGTTATATCCTGAAAGAAAAAGAAAAACTTTACTTGTTATACCTGAAAGAAAAAAAGAAAACTTAACTTGTTATACCTGAAAGAAAAAAAAAAACTTTACTTGTTATACCTGAAAAGAAAAAACTTGTTAATGTGAAAAAAACTTAACTTGTTATGTGAAAGAAAAAGAAAACTTAACTTGTTATTCCTGAAAGAAAAAGAAAACTTTACTTGTTATATGAAAGAAAAGAAAACCTTGTTATATGAAAGAAAAAAGAAAACTTTAACTTGTTATACCTGAAAAAGAAAAACTTAAAATCTGAAAAAAAGAAAACTTAACTTGTTATATCTGAAAGAAAAGAAAACTTAACTTGTTATACTTGAAAGAAAAGAAAACTTAACTTGTTATATCTGAAAGAAAAAGAAAACTTAACTTGTTATACCTGAAAGAAAAAGAAAACTTAACTTGTTATACCTGAAAGAAAAAGAAAACTTTACTTGTTATACCTGAAAGAAAAAGAAAACTTTACTTGTTATATGTGAAAGAAAAAGAAAACTTAACTTGTTATACCTGAAAGAAAAAGAAAACTTTACTTGTTATACCTGAAAGAAAAAGAAAACTTTACTTGTTATATGTGAAAGAAAAAGAAAACTTAACTTGTTATATGTGAAAGAAAAAGAAAACTTAACTTGTTATATGTGAAAGAAAAAGAAAACTTAACTTGTTATACCTGAAAGAAAAAGAAAACTTAACTTGTTATATGTGAAAGAAAAAGAAAACTTTTATTTGTTATATCTGGAAAGAAAAAAGAAAACTTACTTGTTATACCTGAAAGAAAAAGAAAACTTAACTTGTTATATGAAAGAAAAGAAAAAAAAAAACTTAACTTGTTATATCTGAAAGAAAAAGAAAACTTTAACTTGTTATACCTGAAAGAAAAAAAAAAAACTTGTTTTTGGAAAGAAAAAAAAAACTTGTTATACCTGAAAGAAAAAGAAAACTTAACTTGTTATATGAAAGAAGAAAACTTAACTGTTAACCTGAAAGAAAAAGAAAACTTTACTTGTTATATGAAAGAAAAAGAAAACTTAACTTGTTATATGTGAAAAAAAAAAAAACTTAACTTGTTATATGTGAAAGAAAAGAAAACTTAACTTGTGAATGTGAAAAAAAGAAAACTTAACTTGTTATATGTGAAAAGAAAAGAAAACTTAACTTGTTATATCTGAAAGAAAAAGAAAACTTAACTTGTTATAATGAAAGAAAAGAAAACTTAACTTGTTTTATCTGAAAGAAAAAAAGAAAAACCTTTTTAACTTGTTATACCTGAAACAAAAAGAAAACTTTATTTTGTTATACCTGAAAGAAAAAGAAAACTTAACTTGTTATATGTGAAAAGAAAAAAGAAAACTTAACTTGTTATTCCTGAAAGAAAAAGAAAACTTAACTTGTTATATGTGAAAGAAAAGAAACTTAACTTGTTATATGTGAAAAAAAAAAGAAATTTTTTACTTGAAAAAAAAGTTATTTACTTGTTAAAAGAAAAAAGAAAACTTAACTTGTTATATGTGAAAGAAAAGAAAACTTTTAACTTGTTATATCTGAAAGAAAAAGAAAAACTTAACTTGTTATATGTGAAAAAAAAAAGAAAACTTAACTTGTTATATGTGAAAGAAAAAAAAACTTAACTTGTTTATGTGAAAGAAAGAAAAACTTAACTTGTTATACCTGAAAGAAAAAAGAAAACTTAACTTGTTATAAGTGAAAAAGAAAAGAAAACTTAACTTGTTATAGAAAGAAAAAGAAAAACTTAACTTGTTATATCTGAAAGAAAAGAAAACTTAACTTGTTATACCTGAAAGAAAAGAAAACTTAACTTGTTATACCTGAAAGAAAAAAAGAAAACTAAAATTTGTTATATGTGAAAGAAAAAGAAAACTTAACTTGTTATATTAAATGTGAAACTTGTTATAAAAGAAAACTTAACTTGTTATACCTGAAAGAAAAAGAAAACTTAACTTGTTATATCTGAAAGAAAAAGAAAACTTAACTTGTTATACCTGAAAGAAAAAGAAAACTTTACTTGTTATACCTGAAAGAAAAAGAAAACTTAACTTGTTATATCTGAAAGAAAAAGAAAACTTAACTTGTTATACCTGAAAGAAAAAGAAAACTTTACTTGTTATATCTGAAAGAAAAAGAAAACTTAACTTGTTATATCTGAAAGAAAAAGAAAACTTAACTTGTTATACCTGAAAGAAAAAGAAAACTTAACTTGTTATACCTGAAAGAAAAAGAAAACTTTACTTGTTATATGAAAGTGAAACTTGTTATAAAAGAAAACTTTAACTTGTTATATCTGAAAGAAAAAAAGAAAACTTAACTTAACTTGTTATACCTGAAAGAAAAAAGAAAAAACTTTGAAAAAAAAAGAAAAACTTGTTATACCTGAAAGAAAAAGAAAACTTAACTTGTTATATGTGAAAGAAAAAGAAAACTTAACATGTTATATGTGAAAGAAAAATAAAACTTAACTTGTTATATCTGAAAGAAAAAGAAAACTTAACATGTTATATGTGAAAGAAAAAGAAAACTTAACTTGTTATATCTGAAAGAAAAAGAAAACTTAACATGTTATATGTGAAAGAAAAAGAAAACTTAACTTGTTATATCTGAAAGAAAAAGAAAAAAAATCATTAGACGCTTAAACTTAATTCACATTCAAACCGGTACAATTTATTGGAACACCCTTTAGTATTAGATTTTTCGGAAAGTAATGTTTGATTGTAGAATAAAACTTTTGAATTCTATATCTCTTTATAATTCTGAGAGGAGGTATTATGTACAATATTTACATTAATCGGACTATTTTCCTCATCTTTGTCGCCATATTTATCACAACTTTTCGGTCGTTCTACGCTCCTGCCTTCTTCAGGTGGCTGGAATGTCGAACCGATCCCTTTATTTCGCTCACTGGCGTAGACTCTTCTAGTTCCACGTGCCATGTCTAATAGATTTCAGTTATCTCCTGTTAATTCCCCTCTGAAATTTCTCCACCGTGTCCTGTCTCTGGATCTAACTAACGCCATTATCCGCTGTGCCATGTGACCTTGAGGATATCTGTGTGTGAATTTCTGGGTATAAAACTAATGTCTTCAGCAACCAATTTTACCAGTGTTCATATTGCAATTTTTGTTGCTATTATTATAATATTATTATTAGTGTGAGTTCAATACCTGGTTAAGGCGGTTGAGAACTTTTAGAGGGGAATTAACAGGAGATAGCTGACAACCATTAGACATGGCACGTGGAACTAGAACAGTCTACAGCGAGCGAAATAAAGGGTTCAGTTCGACATTCCAGCCACCTGAATTTTGAGTTCTAATATGTTATTATAATATTTTCACAAAAATATATTATTCATTTCTAATTATTAAAGTGTCCCCTTTGTTAATTTTATATCGATCTCTTTCAGAATTTCACTTAAAAAAAAAGAAGAAATAAGTTTACTTTCTTGCATGAGTCAATGCTTGGTCATCACGCTCAAAATCCTGTAAACATTAACAGAGCATAAAATGGAGTATTCATTGGGATCGTCAGTATTGATTTCTGAAGATCCGCAGTAGGGATACGAGTCTTGAAGATCAAGGTGGTAGAAGATGTTCATCTGCATTGACATTCAACACCTGGAATCGCTAGTCGAACACAACCGACGACAAATATTCAGAAAAATGTCTCAAATAATGGGTGTCAGCTATTCAACAATATCGGACCGTCTCAAGAGGAAGAACCTCGATTAATGAAAGCCAAAACAGTTCGATGTCTTGAACAGGGATTGATGCTTCATCAGTGAAATTCGAATGATTCATTCTTTGATTGAAGAGTGGTTTATAATGAGTTTTCTTATTCATTACAACCAGAGAATTACTGCTGAAGTTTACTGGCAGCAACGGCATGAAATGCATATTCAGCAAATTTGAGACTGGCAGTGCAAAATTGACAAAGCTCATTTCTACTTCATGAAATTGCACACTCACATCTTGTGAGGATGGCACTACAGAAGCTCATCGATTTAGATTTCGGCATTAAATAACCCATAGAGGTTTTGATATGCCGTTAAACAATATCAACCAACCAAAATCCAAATATTTAGATTTCGGCATTAAATAACTCATAGAGGTGTTGATATGCCGTTAAACAAAATCAACCAACCAAAATCCAAATGTTTAGATTTCGGCATTAAATAACCCATAGAGGTGTTGATATGCCACTAAACAATATAAACCAACCAAAATCCAAATGTTTAGATTTCGGCATTAAATAACCCATAGAGGTGTTGATATGCCACTAAACAATATAAACCAACCAAAATCCAAATGTTTAGATTTCGGCATTAAATAACTCATAGAGGTGTTGATATGCCGCTAAACAATATAAACCAACCAAAATCCAAATGTTTAGATTTCGGCATTAAATAACCCATAGAGGTGTTGATATGCGGCTAAACAATATCAGTCAACCAAAATCCAAATATTTAGATTTCGGCATTAAATATCCCATAGAGGTGTTGATATGTCGCTAAACAATTTCCCCCACTGATCAACGTAGCCGAATTGGTAAATGAAGGCACCGGTTATATAAAAGTCACTGATTGTGCTGCATAGTAAGGTAGATATTCTTGAGGGCGTTGATTCGTATGGTATGTATCTAACCCTACATGTTTACCATTGATCCATTACTTTGCAGATATGTAGAAATCGGTAGGTAGTCATCCATATAAATGAATTACCAGCCGCAACAATAAGCGATATTTGTAAAAGACGCCTATTCAGCGCCGTCCTAAATCTTGTCACTAAATTCGCTTTCACATTGGATTATTTTGTCGTGTGTTTCGTTTCGGCCATTTTTGTTTGGAGTTGATTATGCTTTCAGAGAAACATTTTCGAAATGTGTTTACAGATAATTATCTAAATTAGTCTCCTATCTATCTATCTATCTATCTATCTATCTATCTATCTATCTATCTATCTATCTATCTATCTATCTTAATCCTATTCATATATGCCTGTATATATATATATATATATATATATATATATATATATATATATATATATATATATATATTATATATATATATAGGTCTGTATATTCAGATTCATCTATCAGTCTGTTCACATCATTCTCTCTCTCTCATCTATCTATCTATCTATCTATCTATCTATCTATCTTCCTAATCCTATTCATATATGCCTGTATATATATATATATATATATATATATATATATATATATATATATATATAGGTCTGTATATTCAGATCTATCTATCAGTCTGTTCACATCTATCTATCTATCTATCTATCTATCTATCTATCTATCTATCTATCTATCAGTATGTTCACCTCTCTTATCTATCTATCTATCTATCTATCTATCTATCTATCTATCTATCTATCTATCAGTATGTTCACCTCTCCCATCTATCTATCTATATCTATCTATCTCAGCATATTTATTTCTCTTTATTTCATTCAGCCTGTTCGTGTCTCACATTTTCTATCTCTCTCTCTCTCTCTCACTCTCTCTCTATCTCTCCCCCCTCTCTCTCTCTATTTCAGTTTTTCCATATCTCTGGCTCTTAATATCAATCTGTTTGTCTCTCAGTATTTCTCTCCCCCCTCTTTCTCTCTATCTATCAGTCTGTTCACCACTTTCTTAATCTATGTCATACCCACTCTCTCTTCCGACCTATTCATCGATCGCAATCTTTTCACCTTTATCTCTCTCATTTTGCTCATTATCTATCTATCTATCTATCTATCTATCTATCTATCTATCTATCTATCTATCTATCTGTTCACCTTATCTATCTATCTATCTATCTATCTATCTATCTATCTATCTATCTATCTATCTATCTATCTGTTCACCTCTCCTATCTATCTATCTATCTATCTATCTATCTATCTATCTATCTATCTATCTATCTATCGTACCCTTCCTTCCTTGTTCCTCTTAAACAAGTTTCTTTCTTGTCACCTCCTTTTTACCAATCCTTCATATGTTATAAGCACTCACTTCCTTTCATTTCTATCTCGCTGTCTTCTTTTCTTTTGGGAGGAAATGCGCATCCAATAAAAAAACCTGAAAATTTGGTTGGCGTTTAGGTGATGGTGGTGTTGGGGGGGGGTAACAACAACAACAGCAACAACAACAACAACAGTAAAGACATAATCAATACTAAAAAAAACAAAAACAAAAAAGGAATGCTACCAACACCTACAGAAACTTATCAAAACATCAATGTGACTGGTGCTGGGCAGAGTGTTTTGCGGGTGGCTGCCCGAAGATAGAATCGAAGAGAGAAATTCCCGAGCCTGCAGGTTTTGTGGTGCCATTTCTATCGCTTCATAAACGACAAGATGGCGTCCAGTCGCGAAAATGTCGATACACGGAAATGACGTTGATTCCAGTTCGGTGGGAAAATGCGATTGGCAGCAGAGATGCTGGAAATGGCCTCTGATCTATTCGGAGATGGATTCAAATACGTTTCTGAATGGAATAGAATGGGGTAAAAGCGGGAATTGTGCAACGAACAGTGAAAAAGGAATTAATGGATATGACTCTTTTATTTTATTTCTCATCAAAAGAAATAAAGAACTCGGCAGAAACGGACGAGTGTTGGAAAAGAGATAAAAGACCTGAAACAACGTAAAGACCCAGATACACAGTTGCAACCATTGACTTACTTATTATCATCTTTTCACACTCACACGCACTTATATACAGTGTCGCTGGAAAGAAACTCCCGATTTGAAATTGTTAATAAGTTTATTAATTATGGGTCGATTTTCATTAAAACTCGTTTTTATTTTGAAAAATATAATGGCAGAAGTAGAGACCAGTGTGAATTATTAACCATTTGCGCCTTTTGCTCCATTTCCGATGTTGAAAGACGACCGCTTCTGTTGGTATCTACCCCAGATCTCGCACTCTCAACTTGAAATGATCATTTCTGATGATTTTACCATCTACTGAAAAACTAGATCCATAAATATTACGCCATTATTTGCGCACTTGTACCGCGGACAGCCACACTTCGGAACTGGATGCTATCAGATCATGATCATGCAGCTTCAGGATTGTACTATTCTGGGCCACACCTGGCACTCTGAAATGAAACAGAACGTAGCAACGAAATTCTAATCTATCTATCTATCTATCTATCTATCTATCTATCTATCTATCTATCTATCTATCTATCTCAGTTCGTATCTATCTATCTATCTATCTATCTATCTATCTATCTATCTATCTATCTATCTATCTATCTGTCTGTCTGTCTCAGTTCTTATCTATCTACCTATCTATCTATCTATCTATCTCAGTTCGTACCTATCTATCTATCTAGTTCTGAATACACAATATATTTTACATCATATATTAACGAAAGTTATTAGTAATTATTCATAAGGAATTACTTTTAAACCAACCACTCTCTCTTTCTCTCTTTATACTCTATCTCACTCTCTATCACCCTCTCACCCTCCCTCTATCTCTCTCTCTCTATACATACATATATATATATATATATATATATATATATATATATAAAAATATATATCTTTAG